GCTGGCACCTGAAGAACAGGTAACTAGTACATTCTGTTGGAGGAGAGCCAAAGGGTGGGGAACAGCACAGCAGAGCCAAGGATGGTGACTTCTGTGAAAAGCACCATGATGCCTGCCAGGGAATGGAGGAATGAGAGCGTCTAGTAAAAGACAAACGAGGTACAGAGCTCTGCCCCTTTGCTGATGTTCCACCCGGGGAGTCACAGTAGCTACAGTTTCCTAGGGGGTAGAGGAGACCCCCTCCCCCCAAGAGGGCAAAGGATCTCAACTCTCTATGGGCTCAGACATGAATGCTTTTTGAATCCTTTATTATGCAAACTAAACAGTAATGTTTTGAACCCTTGTGAGCCTAAGCACTTTTAAGGGGAGCTGACTGCCTGAATGGTCTTCAAACAGTTCACTGGACAATTGTTCAGAGTTGGAGCTATGAATCAGTACAATTGGAAAGCACTTTAGATTATTCAAATAAAATGACTAAAATCTCTATATCCTTTGATCCGGAGAGTCCATTACTAAGTTTATATTCCAAGGAGACCTTTGATAAAAAAGCTCCTATCTACAGAAAAATATTAATAACAACACTTTTTGTGATAGCAAAGATTTGGAAACAAAGTATATGCCCATCAAATGGGAAATAGCTAAACAAACTGTGGTTCATGAATGTAATGGAATATTGCTATGTTGTAAGAAATTATTATTGTAATAAACACAGAGAAGTATGGAAAAATCTATATGAACTGATACAGAGTTAAGTAAGCAGAGCGGAGAAAACAACATACACAAGACTATAACAATGTAAATGAAAAGAACACAAACACCCACATCAAAAATGAATGTTGCAAAATTATAAAGAACATGGTTAAAAAGAAGAGATATGAGAAATCACTCCCACCCACCCCCTATGCAGAGGGGAAAGGTTCACTAGTCAAAATAAACAGTGTTGGAGACTCATGAGCTATGGTTTTGTGGTGTCTTAAAAACAAGTTGGCTTTTCTGAGTGACCATGTGAATTTGTATCTATTTCAAAATTATACCTTAAGTGACCATGTATGGATCCCTATTTCCACTGGAGACAGGTATCCTAGGAAATGGGCTGACTGGGATCCTCAGTAGAAAGAACTTTGAGATATGAGACTTGATCCTAGTTTAAGCTCCAGCACCAACTATCTGGGTAACTTTGGGTGAACCATGGTCCTCCTCTGGGGCTCAGTAGTCAGTCAACAAACATTTAGTAAGTACTTACTAGGTGCTAGGCACCATGCTAAGTAAGAACTAGAGACACAAAAAAAGCCAAAAAATCACTTTCAAGGAGTTCATATTCCAATGGGGGAGAAAAATGCAAACAACTATGTAATATAAATATATATGTATGTGTATGTATATATCTATATAACACAAAAATCTTTCTATTTATATATATTCATATACACATATACAAATTATATGCATTATATTTATATACATATTATAACCTTCCATCCACATATATTACCTATAGATATATCTCTAGATTTATCTATTCAGGAGCAGCTAGATGGCACATTGGATAGTCAGGAAGACTCATCTTCCTGAGTTCAAATCTGGCCTCAGACACCAGCTGGGTGACCCTAGGAAAGTCACTTAACACTCTTCGCCTCAGTTTCCTCATCTTTAAAATAAGTCGGAGAAGGAAATGGCAAACCATTCCAGTATCTTTGCCAAGAGAAACCCAAATAGGGTCACAGAGAGCCGGACCTGACTGAAAATGACTGAGTAACAATAATATCACAACTGACATTTATATAGTGCTTACTACAATAACATTTACTGTATATCTATATAGATCTATCTATCTATCTATCTATCTAGAGAGTAATAATCTCTAGGGAAGCCACAAGCAATAGGGGGAAGGAGAAAGAGAGGGAGGTCTAGGAAAGGTCTTCATGAAGCCTAATGTAGGATTTGATCTGAATCTTGGAGAAACTAGAAAGTAGAGGTGATGAAGGAAAGCATTCCAGGCATGGGACAACCAGAGAAGAGACAGTTGTGTGCAAGGAGCAGCAAGAAGGTCAGTGTAGCTGGACCATAGAGTGTGTGGAGGGGAGTAAAGTGAAAGAAGCCTGGGAAGACAGGAAGCAAGCTTCCTGTCCTTCCAAGCTCTAACCCATTAATCTGTCAGCATCTTCACATGGCCCTACATGTACTGCAAAGGTACCAGAGAAACACAAGGGGGCAGTATATCTCTAAAGAAAACAAGGATTTGGAGAACAATCCCAACCAAAGAGTACACATTTTCTTAGAGACTGACTTTCTGGTGATGTGTAGGAGCTGAATGAGTGAGAAGACAGCAATGATCTAGTTTTGTGGGGCAGTGCACAGAGTACCAGGCCTAGAGTCAGGAAGACCTGAATTCAAAGGCAGCCTCAGACACTTACTAGCTGGGTGACCCTGGGCAAGTCACTTCACCCTGTTTGCCTCAGTTTCCTCATCTGTAAAATGAGCTGGAGACAGAAATGGCAAACCACTCCTGGATCTTTGTCAAGGAAACCCCAAACGGGGTCACACAGGGTCGGACATGACTGAAAACCACTGAACAACAACAAAGGAGCAGAATGAGTGAGAAGAGAAATGATGCCGTTTTTTCTTTGGTAGCACGAACCACACTGACCTCATTGTCCTCTCTGCTCAGCTTCCTTACTACTCACACCCCCTGAAGGCAGATGAGTGGAAACCACACTTTGGAAGGGGCTCATTAGTAGCTAGAATATCTATTCTGGTTCCTTTTTTGACTCCCAAGTTCTGTTTTTATACAAATCAACTCTCGGTCATATGAAGAAATAGATAATGACAGACTCTGTTCCAGTTTTGGTCACTAGCCACAAGGGAAATCCCACTGTTTTCAGTTTTTGAAAAGACTTCTGGGATTGTCTGGAAACAGCCAGGTGGCTCAATGGATAGAGCACTGGTGCTGGAATCAGGAAGACCTGAGTTCTAATCCAGAACTCTGATATTTACTAGCTATGTGATCCTGGGCAAATCACTTAACTTGTTTGTTTAATCCACAGGAGAAGGAAATGGCAAAACACTCTATGGACAGCACTGGTGTGTTATGATCCATGGGATGACAAAGAGTTGGACACAACTGAATAACACCACAAATGGGGATAATCATAGCACTTACTTCCCAGGGTTGAAGTCAGGATCAAATGAATTAATATTTTTAAAGCACTCTGCAAACCTTAAAGCACTATGTAAATGCTACTAGCTCTTATTATCATATCAGATATGTTGATTAGTTTAGTTGAACTGTTTTTTCCTCTTGATTTTTTTTCTTGATTTTATTTTTTTGTTATAAGGGATGGTTCTTTGACAGTGAAAGGTATATACTCGAAAATGTGGGAGATATAAAAACAAAATATATCAAAAATAAAATGAGAGGATTAGACTAAATTGGGGTTCTTAATCTGGGGTCTGTGAACTTGTAGGCTTCAAAATTTTTTTGATAACTATATTTCAGTAAAGTTAATTTCTTTTGAAATCCTAGGTATTTTATTTTATACATTAAAATAGATGATTCTGAGAAGGGATCCAGAGGCTTCAGACTGTCACCAAAAGAATCCATGACACAAAACGGGTTAAGAACACCTGGACTAGATGGTCTCTATGGTCACTGCAGTTCTAACACTCTATGACAGCAATACTTCAACTTTTTGGTCTTGGGACCCCTCTACACTCTGAAAATTTATTAAGGACCTCAAAGGGCTTCTGTTCATGTGAATTATATCTATTGATGTTTACTGTATTAGAAATTTAAATGGATAAATTTTAAAATATTTATTATTGAAAATAAAATAGCAAACTCATTATATGTTAATGTAAAAGACATACATTTAGCATAAAATAATCATATTTTCTGTGAGAAGAGTGACATCGTTTTACATATTTTTGCACATCTCTTTAATGTCTGGCTTAATGGAAGACAGCTGGATTCTCCTATTTGTTTCTGTATTCAATCTGTTGTAATAAGTTGTTTTGGTTGAAGCATATGAATATCTTGCTTCACACAAATATGTAGTTGGAAAAGGGAGAAGTATTTAAATAGGCAAATAACATCTTAGAATTATTATGAAAATAGTTTTATCCTTGCAGGCCTCCTGAAAGGGTCTCAGAGACTCCCGGAGGCGGGTGGTGAATCTGTGAATCATACTCTGAGAACCACTGACCCACAAATTAACCTATGAAACAAGTTCAAAGTCATAAAGCTCCACACACAACCTTTCCTATTGCCTTCTGCATCTGAGCAGAACACATTCCCTGTCTACATTCTGGCTCTTTCAACCTGTTGGCAGTTTAACTCTCATCCCTTGCTTTCCGTTCTCAGTAACAAAGATCTGGGTTATGCTCGTTGTTTCTCACTCACACAGCTAGCTGTCTCCTTGCTCTCCAGATCAACAGACATCACCACTACTCAACCTTTCTTTTCTCTCTAGGCTCTGTGATCCATCAGTTCTAGATACTTCCTTAATACTTCAAAAGATCCATCATTTCTTTTTCTATGTGGGTAGCCCCTTCAATGGTATAAACCATAATCTTTTCTTACCCCAGTACATGGGTTTGCTGAGTTGACATGGTCAAAAACCCCCAAACATTCACTACCTACTGGCCAGGTTATGACCTCTCTGCAGTCAGCCCAACTGGTTTTTAGACAACCAGAAGCCTTCCTTCCCAGCATGAGTAGATCTGCCAGGACTCATCTTTCACTGCAACAGCTTTGGAGAAGCCAGGATCTCCTCCATGCCACAATGAGGCACTGGAGGAGGATTTTTGAGAAGGCACGATTTCCAAACACAAGATTCCTTTTCTCGGCTTTTCGACTTGGGAATTCTGCCTCTTTCTAAAGTTAACATCAGCTCCAGTATCCTTAAGTACTCCTATTTTTGGAAGCAGCCTAGAAAGGCAAATCTCCAGTTAAGAGAGATGGATTGTACAAGTGAAAGATCACCTTCTATCTATTGCATTACCTGGAACAGCCCCTGTGACTCTCCAGTGTATCAGGAAAAGCAGAAACTTCAGGTATCTCATGCTTTCGAGTGTTCCTCTGAAAGTCTTTCACTTTTTCAGGAACTTTTCAGATCTCAGATCTTCGTTTGCTCTGGAGGTGTTGACACCAGTCAGCAGAACTTTCTGTTCAGTCCCTGGTACTCTGAATAATCAGACCACTAATTGGTGAACTCTTCTTCTAACCTGCAGGGTGTGTACTGGGCGGGACAGAATGTGTAGGTAGGCTGGGAAGGCAGAGAATTAAAAGGAAAAGGTACTTTGTACTTTGTACTTCAGTAGGGCCTGTTCTTCAAGATACTCCAAATGTACTTGTACCCTGGAAAAATACATAAACCAAGTACATCTTAGTTAAAATCACCTTTAGAAATGTATTAGTTATGTGACTTATAACGATGACTAAGATTACTTCCCCTCAATCTTCATTATAAGTAAAGGTGATAATAAATAATAGCACCCACCTTTTAGAGTTGTTGGGAAAATAACAGGAATACAATATTCATTTTATTTCACACAGCTAGTAAGCGTTGTGTTTGATCTGAGGTCGGGTTTGAACTCAGGTCCTCCCCCACTTCAGAGCCGGTACTCTATCCACTGCGCCACCTAGCTACCCCAACATTCATTTTTTAAGATAAGATTTTGTTTCAATTTTTTTCTCTCTCCCATCCTCCCTCCCCAAGACAGCAAACAATCTGATATAGGTTATATCTGTGCAATCATGTAAACATATTTCCACATTAGTCAAGTTGTAAAAGAAGAAACAGAACAAAAGGGAAAAGCCAAAAAACAAAACAACAACAACAACAAAAAAGCGAAAATAGTACACTTTGGCCTGTATTCAGACTCCATAGTTCCTTCTTTGGGAGGTGGATGGCATTTTCCATCATGAGTCTTTTGGAATTTTCTTGGATCCTTGCTGAGAAGAGCTAAGTCTATCATAGTTGATCATCACACACTGTTGCTGTTACCGTGTAAAATGTTTGTCTGGTTCGCTTACTTTACTCAGCATCAGTTCATGTTAAGTCTTTCCAGGTTTTTCTGAAGTCTGCCTGCTCATCATTTCTTACAGCACAATAGTATTCCGTTACACTCATATACCACAATTTGTTCGGCCATTCTCCTATTATGCTGCTATAAATATTTTTGCACACGTAGGTCCTTTTCCCTTTTTTAGGATCTCTTTGGGATACAGACCTAGTAGTGGTATTGCTGGATCAAAGGATATGCACAGTTTGATTGCCCTTTGGGCATAGTTCCATATCGCTCTCCAGAATGGCTGGATCAGTTCACAACTCCACCAACAATGCATTAGTGTCCCAATTTTCCCATATCTCCAATTTTTATCATTTTCTTTTTCTGTCCTATTAGCCTACCTGATAGGTATGAGGTGGTACCTCAGAGCTGTTTTAATTTGCATTTTTCTAATCAATAGTGATTTAAAGCATTTTTTCATGGACTATAGATAGCTTTAATTTCTTCCTCTGAAAACTGCCTGTTCTTATCCTTTGACCATTTGTCAACTGGAGAATGACTTGCAATAACCTGAATACAAACTACTTAGCACAGTGTGTAAATGTTGACTATAGTTATTGGGTTCTAGATTGCATAAAATATCAAAGGTCATGACAGGAATGGTTTTCTAAGAACGATACTTTCAACTGCATTGCTGTGATTTGACTTCAGATAAAAACCCATTACGTTGTTTACCCTTCTGATTTTTCTTATATTATGAAATTTTAGAGACCATCGTATCAGAAATATAATTATAGAAGTGAATTCTCTTTTAATTAGGTGACTATACTCTTAAATACATGCTGTCATGTGAAATTTTTGTAAAATACTGTGAAATGCTAGTAGAGAGGTCACTTCTCTATTGAGTTATTAAAATGAATGTGGTGACGGTTTTCAAAAAATTGTAATAATGAAGTGCTTTTTGCCTTAACATGTAAAATTCTTATGATTTAATAAGAGGCTTGGGCACCGCCCCCCACCCCTTCAGCCAGAGCTGTGATCTTTTGTAACTGTGAAGAACTTATGTTGAAAAAAAGCAATGAATGATTACTTTTAAATTGACTACACTGATATCATTCATCTAAAAAAGTTTTGTATTTATGAATTGGTCCACTAAGAGATAGCAAAATTATTTAAAACTATTCAAAATTCAGTGGGTTATAGTTTCCTCTAACCTCACCTAAAGGGAAAGACTTCAGTTTCACTATTTATAACTTCCCTGTAACATAAGTTACCAAGTGGTTCAAATAATAATTAAGTAATCAAAACCTAAACATTCTAAGGTACTACAGAAGACATGCCTCTTAGATTCTTTTTGTTTGTTTTTGCCAGGCAATGTGGTTAAGTGACTTGCCCCGGGTCACACAGCTAGTAAGTGTCATGTGTCTGAGGTCAAATTTGATCTCAGGTCCTCCTGACTCCAGGGCCAGTGCTCTATCCACTGCGCCACCTAGCTGCCCCCTTAAATTCCTTAATCTTTGAGAACTATAAAAAGCCTGGTATATAGTAAGCACTATATAAATTAGTTATTGTTACTTCTTTACTTTACTGTAAATACTCCGTATTGGATAACTCTATACTGCATTTTAGATGTCACTGAATGTGATTAGTAAAATAACAAAGGAGATAAGATGAATGATTTTCCCTGTAACATAATTTTAAAATCCATTCTATTGAACTGTTGAATGAAATCTGAGAAAAGCTGTTGGGGCAAGATACTTCCCCTTTTGATCTCAATGATGTTAAAATACAAATATATCAGTCATACGTGGCAGGTGAAAGAAATGACTTAGGAAACAAAGGTTCGAGCATCTAAGCACATTGATTTAGTAAGTAATGCATGTCGATTGCATTACAAATTGGGACTAGGCCTCCTCAGCTTGGCACTGGACCCCAAATATAACAGAAGACAGATTATTATGTGTTAAGAGATAATAATAAGCAGGATATAAAAGTAGGTAATTTGATTTCTAATTGGAAGAAAAATTGGGGGCTTTCCAAGAAAAAGAAGTGTCCTGCTCCCTTCAAGTATCTATAAACAATCAAACGAACATGGAAACAACTGATTGATCAGTACAGGGCCAGTGTTCAGATAAAGCAAATAGTTTGCTTGAGATGTGTAATTTTTTAAAAATTTATTTAATATTTTATTTTTCCCTAGTTACATTAAAAACAATTTTTAACATTCATTTTTAAAACTTTTGAGTTTCAAATTCTCTCCCTTCCTCCCACCCCCACCTCTCCTCATCAAGAGGGCAAGCAATTTGACATAGATTACACATGTCATCATGCAAAACATTTCCATATTAGTCATGTTATGAAAGAAAACATAGACCAAAACAAACAAACCCCGAAACCCTCAAGAAAAAATAAAGTTAAAAAAGTATGCTTCAGTCTGTATTCAGTCACTATTGGTCTTTTGTCTGGGGATGGACAGCATTTTTCATTATAAGTCCTTGAGTTGTCTTGGATCATTTGGATCATTTTTTTGCTGTGAACAGCTAAGTCATTCACAGCTGGTCATGAGATAATTGTGAGAAAATTTGCATCAATCTTTGGAGCTGACTGAGTTTCTAATCAGCATAGCCTAGGTTCTTAGTTAAGGGACTTTCTAAACCACAGGTAGAGGTGATTCAGCTGCCCAGCCAGGCAGGGCTAGTTTCAAACAATGCAATAAAGTTTTCTCACAACTCTCATAACTGAAAAAGTTTTCTCACAAGACAAAAGTTGGCCTAGACCTCTAATTAAATAGAAAGGGAACTGAGCCAGCTCCAGAATTGAGTTACAAGACGGAGTCAGAGTGGTTCACTCAATTTCCCACAATTCCTTCATATATGATGTGACAAAATGTTTGAAAAGTAAAGTATTAAATATGATATATTTTTTTATAAATTAGAAGATAGTAATAATGATAAATGACTTACCGTTAGGAAAAAGGATAGCTAAATCCTTTTGAGAGATCTTTGTCTATTGTGTTCCTTAAGATTTCCTACTTGAACTAGGTCATAAGTTCTTACCAACCCCACTGATAGCATGTTGTGAAACTCTAAAGTGCTGCAGTTTAAGAAACTAGGACCTCTCCCAGCCAAAGTGAAAAAATGTACAAGTTAAGCTGTAAATAATGAGTTTTGTTTGAGATTATTTAGAAAATCATGAAAATTGTATATGTTACTAAATAGGATGTAACTTAAACAGATATTCTTGTGATTGGCAACTTATAGTTGCCACAGTTTTCTGGGCGGAGGGGTTCAGTAGACTATTAAGAATTCACTATATTTGTAAACTTATCCAACATTTAACCAACTTGCCATTCCGGCCATTTCTTGTAGTAATCTCCTCCACCTTATATCCCATTTTAACATCTATGTGTTCTTCTTGGCAAGTTGTCCTCTAAAACTCACCTGAAGTAGCCAGATATACCTCCCCTTCCTTTATTCCATCTACATGGCAGACTAACAGAGGAGTTCTATTATCTAAATGGGAAATTCTATATCTGAATATTAAAACTTATCATTTACCACGATGAATATTTTCCCCCTTCCAACAATTATATTGCTCATAGGAAACTTTCTCTCTTAATAGTTACGGTAGGATTTTTAACCATTATTATTGATGATGATTGGCACTTTAACACAATAATTCTATCAGGCCTAACATATGCTTCATGAAGTTTTGCTATTTCAGTTACATCTTGTGGGACTTGAATTTGATATAGTTCTGAGGTTTTTTTTATTTCAGGTATATTTGTAAACACAAAGCCAATAATTCACCATTCAAGGGGCCACCATTTGCTGCAATCTGAGGACTGCTATAGGTAGATATTTGCTCTGGGGAGACAGCTGGGGGAATAACCTTGTGAAGCTTTGTGAAGGTAAGATCATCTTGACTTGGTTTCCCATCAAGCAACTTCTTTCTCAAGAGGAAGTTTTCCCATCTAAATAATTTTGAGCCTGGCTTGGATACTCGGTGAATAATGTGGAATTTTAATTGGCTGTTAACTATCTCTTCTGCCTGGAATAAAAACAGAGCTAAGGGAGTTTTCCCCTTGTTATGGCTTCTCTATAGCGTCATAACCATGTCCCTCCTTTTCCTTTCATGGCAAATTTTTTATAATAAAGCCTTAAAAAATCTGAAGTGTGTGTACAAATTAAAGCACTTCTGATTATAAAATGGAATCACATTCTAAAGGTTTAGAACACACAATTATTAATATTGAAATGTTTGAGTTACCTTAACAGAATATAAATATAAAATATCTGCCTTGATTTTCCTCTAGCTTATAGTTTTATTTGTGTATATAAAATAGGA